GCACACACGCCCGGCGTAAGTTTAAGCCACCAGGTCTAGGACTCGAACCGTGGTCGACTACATGGGAGTCCAGCGACATAGCCATTACACCAACTGCTGGTCCTGGCAATTTTTTTAAAATCTTGATTTGAAACTTTAACATGGAAAAATCTTTAAAATACCCCTAAAATACTTTAAGTACAAAGAAAGCAGATTACAAACTAATATGTAACTTTCCCATATATAGTCTACCTTATAGAAAAAATAATTATCGAAATATTAATTCTGGTATTTCTAGGTGGCAGGATGGATTTATAGGTGATTTCAATTTTTCTCTTTGTAGGAAAGAGGATCATTATTTCTAATATCCAAAAGAATAAAAAATGGAAGAGAAAGTAATTCTGTTATCACTAGAGGGCAGAACTAGGAACTACCATTAGAAATTACAGAAAGGCAAGTATGGCTCAATGTAAGCAATAATTTTTTTTTTTTTTTGAGAGGTTTTCACTATAGGGCACGTGCGCTCACCAGACAAAGAGAGAGAGACAAAGAGACAGAAAGTGAGAAATCACCCCCCTAGGGGGGATGGTCACGCCGCAATCCCTTCTCCATTCTCCTCTCGGGATCTTGGGCACGCATGCACACGCGCCCGGCGTGAGTTATAAGCCACTGGGTCTGGGACGCGAACGGCGGTCGACTACGTGGGAGTCCTAGCAAATACGCTAACTGCTGGTTCCCTGTAAGCAATAATTTTTAAAAAGTTAGAATTTTCTAAGCAATGAATGACCATGCTTCATGAGGTAATGAGCAAAGCTGAATGATCACATAGCAAAGACATATAATAGAATACATTTATGTATTAGAAGAATAAAGAGAAGATCTTAATGGTCCCGTTTTACTCTAATAACTTATAATTCCATATAAAGTTGTCCATTAGCTATAATGCCAGGAAGAAAGTGGTTGGTACGTCTTTATAAATGTAAATGTTATTCAAAACACATGTGGAACTGAAGTAAACAAAGAAGATTATACCTTTATTAGAATAATGGTAGTTGAAAGATGATTTTGTTATATATATATATATATTTATTTTGTATATATATACATATTTTTTTTTTCTTTTTTTTGGAGAGGTTTTTGCTATAGGGTGCTGTGCGCTTGCTAGAAAGAGAGAGACAGACAGAAAGCAGGAAATCACCCCCCGGGGGGATGGCCACGTCGCAATCCCTTCTCCTCCATTCTCCCATCAGGATCTTGGGCATGCATGCACATGCGCCTGGCATGAGTTTAAGCCACCAGGTCCAGGACTTGAACCATGGTCGACTATGTGAGTCGAGCAACATGGCCATTACACCAACTGCTGGTCTCTATTTTGTTATATTTCTTATCAACAATATACATGTTACTGATAAAGTGAAAGGAAGTGATTAACTCAATGGAGAGGATAAAACTTGATTGGCAAAAATTACAATGGAATCTGCCAGTACTAATTTCTCTATGTCTAATAAAAACTTGAAGAGTTAAAGTTTTCCAAGGTGAAATAACAACAAAACGAATCAAAATGAAGGACAAGAGGCACTGTGCTTCCCCATTTTGCTTCTGGCTGCCCCATAATTTGTACATAAATAAATAAAAGAAAGACCATACCCCTCTCTCTCTTACAATATGGTATATGCCAGACCAATCAGGTAGCCCAGTAGTTAAGGGACCCAGTTCCCACATAACTGATGGTAACTTGAATCTCATCCTGGTAGGCTGAAATTTGTGTCCACGCCCCAAATTGCAACAGGAAAGAGAAATAGAGAAGAAATTACAAATTACAGCCTGACTATGCTACATGGTAGAGAGGTATACCTTCTCCTCCTCCTTTCTTTCTGTCTCTCTCTGGCAAGTGCATACCCTCCAGCAATTCTGATAAAGTGAAAGGAAGTGATTAACTCAATGGAGAGGATAAAACTTGATTGGCAAAAATTACAATGGAATCTGCCAGTACTAATTTCTCTATGTCTAATAAAAACTTGAAGAGTTAAAGTTTTCCAAGGTGAAATAACAACAAAACGAATCAAAATGAAGGACAAGAGGCACTGTGCTTCCCCATTTTGCTTCTGGCTGCCCCATAATTTGTACATAAATAAATAAAAGAAAGACCATACCCCTCTCTCTCTTACAATATGGTATATGCCAGACCAATCAGGTAGCCCAGTAGTTAAGGGACCCAGTTCCCACATAACTGATGGTAACTTGAATCTCATCCTGGTAGGCTGAAATTTGTGTCCACGCCCCAAATTGCAACAGGAAAGAGAAATAGAGAAGAAATTACAAATTACAGCCTGACTATGCTACATGGTAGAGAGGTATACCTTCTCCTCCTCCTTTCTTTCTGTCTCTCTCTGGCAAGTGCATACCCTCCAGCAATTAAAAAAAAACAAAAAAACAAAAAAAACTAGTAGATGTCAAAAAAGGAATACTCTAAAAAATGTACTTTATTTTTTTTTCGCTATAGGGCACGAGCGCTCGCCAGACAGACAGAGACAGAGAGACAGAAAGCAAGAAATCATGCCCCCGGGGGGATGGCCACGCCGCAATCCCTTCTCCTCCATTCTCCTCTCAGGGTCTTGGGCACATATGCACACACGCCCGGTGTCAGTTTAAGCCACCAGGTCCAAGACTCGAACCACGGTCGACTACATGGGAGTCCAGCAACATAGCCATTACATTAACTGCTGGTCCCTAAAAAATGTACTTTTGAAAAGATAATAAAATAACAAATTCCATGTACCCATCACTCAGCTTCATTTATCAACATTCTATCAAAGTTGTTTTATATAATCTCTAGGGCTGATTTTTTGTTTTGTTTTGCTTTTTGAGATTTAACCTAGGCATCACAATACAGTCTGAAAAGATACACTTTCTTGCTGATAATAACAACATCAAATAAGTTTCAGTTGCTAGAGCCAGGTATCATCATACATATTATGATTATACTTACATATATGATTCTCACAAAAGCTACTATGCCTCATCATTACTCCCATTTTACAAATGAGTTCTGAATGGCTCAAGGTCAAGCAGTGGTGCAAGGGTATAAACAGACAAGTTAACTTCAGACTAGCCTCTACTCTCTCAATCACTAATAGTATGCTATCTTTCCACTACATTAGCTATTCTAATTATTTTACATTATTGGGGTAATATTGGGAGAGGGACTGCTGAATAAAGAAGAGTTTAATAAAAATGCCATAATGTGAACAGCCACCATTTGTTTTCTTGTAAAATTTTGTTTAAATGCCCCAAATGAGAAAGGAAAATTTAATTGGATATCATCTGTCAATTACCTAGAATACAAAAGGAAGAAAGAGAGCTAAGAAATCAGTACAAATATTTGCAGTTTCATTCACGATCGAAAGAATCTAGTCACTTTGGTTTGCAAAACCTTCCAACGAAGAAGGGAGAACTTAGCCTGAAGGATCTGGAAGGCAGTCAAACCTTTTAAGACCTTTTATTTGGAAGTCAAGATATAAGACAGCGTATGAGGGACCAGCAGTTAGTGTAATGGCTATGTCGCTGCACGTAGTCAACCGCGGTTTGCATCCCAGACCTGGTGGCTTAAACTCAAGCAGGGCGCGTGTGCGTGCATGCCCAAGATCCCAAGAGGAGAATGGAGGAGAAGGGATTGCAGCGTGGCCATCCCCCAGGTGGGTGATTTCTCACTTCCTGTCTCTGTCTCTCTCTGTCTGGCGAGTGCACATGCCCGACAGCAAAAACCTCTCAAAAAAAAAAAATAAATAAAAAATAAAAGACAATGTATGAAATAAAAAAAAAAGACAATGTAAGAAATGCCTTAAAAAAAAAAAAAAAAGATTTTGCCATAGGGTATGTGCATTGCCAGAGACAGACAGTGGGAAGAAGAGTAAGAAACTACCCCCTGGGGGGGTCACACCATGAATCCCTTCTTCATTCTCCTCCTGGGATTTTGGGCATATACTCACATATCTAGTATGATCTTCAAGCTACCAGATCCAATACCTAAACTGTGTTGGGCCATGTGGAAGTTCATTCAACACCTTAACCACCATGCCACCTACTGGCCCTGGAATGTCTACTTTTTACATTTAAATGCTGACAGTAACAGAAGAAATAAATAATTAAAAAAAAAAATAATAAGATTAGTACGTAGTACCTAGTTATCCCCTTCTGCTATTTTCGAGAGAAAAAGTGCCTAGCAAAAGAGATCTGGGGAGACCAGCAGATGGCATAATGGTTACATCGTTGGACTACCACGTAGTCGACTGTGTTTGAGTCCCAGACCTGGTCATGTAAAACTCACACCAGGCGCATGTATGTACATGCCCAAGATCCCGAGAGGAGAATGGAGAAGGGATTACAGCATGGGCATCTCCCCAGGGTGAGATTTCTCGCTATGTCTCTGTCTCTCTGGCAAGCTTAGACACCCTATAGCAAAAATCTCTCTTAAAAAAAAAACAAAAAAGAGATCTGAGTTGGGGCCAGCAGATGGCATGGTGAAGCCACTGGATTCCCACACAGCTGACCATGGTTTGAGTCCCAGATCTAGCAGCTTGAAAATCATGCCGGGTGTATATGTGCATGTGCCCAAAAATCCCGAGGAGGACGAAGGATAAGAGATTGCAGAGTGCCATCCATCTTGGGGGAGATTTCCCACTCTTCCTCTCTCTCTCCCCACCTCTTTCTCTCTCCAGGGAGCACAAGAGCTCTATGACAAAAACCTCAACAACAAAAAAACTCTGGGTTATAGCTTTTAACCATGGGAGGAGGCACTCTTTATAGGTGGGTGTGAGTCTATTTAGACTCTTCTCTAATGCTAATTAACAAAACCACTTTGAAATTATCTGGTTAGGCAATCCCGTGAAGTAAAAGTTTTGGGGTAAGAAAATTATCTTTTTCACAAATTTAAGACTATCCCAAACAATCTCCCAGTTTAAGCTACATTATACTGGAAAGAAAGAGTCCCACCACATGTCATTCTTCGACAGCCACGTTACCTTGGTTAGAGTCCACTGGGTCTTCGATATGAGCAATGACACTCCTGAGATAAATTTGCTTCTGCTGTTCTAGATCTGACTGTGAAAACGTTGTAACGTTAGTCCTGAACAAAGCAAAGCAGGAGGAAAACAGTCCATAAGAACCATGAGTGCTACTCCGTAGAGAAAAGTCAAATATTAGTAGAACAACTCACTTTCAGAAGCAAAATTCTCTTTAAGATCCAGTGACAGAAAAGTGTTAGTTACATAATATGAAGTTAAAATCAAGTACGGAATGAGGAAGAAAACAGATACCATCCTGCTAACAAAGAATAGGAAAATGAAGATTACCTATTCCCTAGAGAAAGAGGGCATTTGTTCAGTAAGTCAAAGTTAGTCCGGAAATAACTAACTTCATAGAAAAGCTAAATGAGATAGACTACAAAGAACTAGTTAATTCTGGTAACTGGAGCAATGGTAATCTTGGTAAGAACAATTTCTGGCCCTTACTCATATTAATTGTACGGTACTAAAGGGACAGTGGATGAGTATAGTGAGATTGTAACTTCATTACTGTTCCAAGTAGCCAGACCTGTGTTCTTTTGTTATAATTTATATTTTAAATAATTCATAAGGTTCTCTCAATTAAAGCAACAAGATTAAAACAAAACAGAAACCTGGATTAGGGTAGTAATCTTAGAGGACTTTAGCCTTATTTGTAATATTAAAATTTGTTAAAGCAGGATAAATGTGTAATCAAAAAACAACTAAAAAAAAAAATCTCACTGTAAAGAAGCCAATCTAATTCAACCGAGAAAACAGCTTTTCTAATACATTCCATGGAGAAGGCCAATGTCAAGACACTGCCATCTTCTGGCAATAGTATAAAAACTGTAAAAGTGACACAAATCTTCAACCCTTACTAGAATTCTTCCCATGACAATAGTTTCAAGTTGGGAGAGATGACTAAATGATTTTATGCATAGTTATATTTTAACATTTTTGTTAAAAATTATTCTAACCTCCTCTCCCATGTGACCAGGCATCCCCACACACAGGGGAAATCTTTTATTTACATGATGCTTTCCTCTAGCGTCTCTTTTACTTTCAAATAACCTTCAAGGCAGCAGAGAGGGCGGCATTAGCTTTATTTTACTGATGTAGAAACATAAAAAAATCATTCAACTTTCCCAAGGTTACACAGTTAGTGGTGCCAAAACCTCAGGTTTGCTTACTCCTGGTACAGGTTTTTTTTTTTTTTTTTTCCCCCTGACACTAATAGGAAACTGGGGAAGAGAAGTAATGAGAGACCCAACAAAACCCACAGTATATAACTATTTTAATATGTTACCTGGTTTTGGTTTGTAGAACAGGAGTGACCTTGCCTAGTCTTCTCTCAGAGACTTTCACCTTCCCAGAAACCTTGTCAGGAATATCCTGCTTTTTTTCAGAGCAGAAGGAATGAAGAAGGAAAAATGGGTCTTACTTCTAAGGAAACACTATTCAAATGCAAACATTTTTGAACTAAGGGCTAACTCAACATGTCCTTGAACACTTAAAAAATTGTAAAGATTTATTCATTTTTAGAATCATTATTTAACTTTATTTAGTTAGTTAAATTTGACCAGAGAGGAACAGACCAAGAGTGGGGGGTAGGGGGGTGGGCATGGGGAGGTGAGAAAGCAAGCCGCCAGGTCTGGGACCCAAACCCAGTCAGCCATGTGGGAGAGTCCAGCACCCTTAACCAGCATGCCACCTGCCGCTCCCAAATGTAAGCATTTATTAAAAGTCTACTTAGAAAGATGAACCTTCCGAAGGCAGTAAGCTTAGATTTTAACAGGTACTGCATCAACAAAAGCCTAAACTGAGGTGTCAACAACAACAAAAAGTAGTGCTTAAAAAAGATGGCAACTGAGGTGAGCAGGCGACATGGTGTTTAGATGCTGGATTTCCACATGGTCGACGACAGTTGAAACATGCTGGGTACGTGTGCATGCATGCATGCCCAAAATTCTGAGAGGAGAATGGAGATGGGGCTGGAGTGTGGCCATAACCCTGGAGAGTGATTTCCCATTTTCCCTGTCTGTTTCTCTCCAGTGAGCACACACACTCTATGGCAACAACCTTAAAAAAGAGAGAGAGAGAGACAGAGAGCGAGCGAGCGAGCGAGCGAGCAATATAGTCTTAGAAAAAGAAAACCCAACCGACCAAAGGAAAAGATGAAAGAAAGATAAAAACTGTAGTGCAAGTGTTAGACTCAGCAGCTTGAAACTCATGCCAGGTGTGTGTGTCTATTTGTTCCTAAAATCCCAAGAGAATGGAGAGGAAGGGACTGTGGCATGGCCATCTATTTTAAAAAGAATTATTTCGGGGGGCCAGCAGGTGGTATGGTGGTTAAGGGTTTTGGACTCCTATAGGGCTGACCGTAGTTCTAGTCCCAGACCTGGGAGCTTGTTCTCACACTTTCCTCTCCTGTCTCACTCTGTTCCTCTCTGGGAAAACTAAAATAAAGTTAGATTGGAGCTAGCAGGTGGCATGATGGTTAAGGTGTTGTACTCCCACATGGCCCACCATGGTTTTAAACCAGGACCCAGCAGCTCGCTTTTTTTGCTTTCTTGCTTACTCTCTCTGGTCACATTAAAATAGATAAGCAAGTAAATAAATAATTCTTTAAACAAAATAAAAATAAAGTTAAATACAATAATTCTTTGTATTTTTTTTGGAGAGGTTTTTGCTATAGGGCGCGTGTGCTTGCCAGAAAGAGAGATGTCGAAAGACAGAAAGCGAGAAATCACCCTCCAGCGGGGATGGCCACACCACAATCCCTTTTCCTCCATTCTCTTCTTGGGATCTTGGGCACGTATGCACACGCACCCAGTGTGAGTTTAAGCCACTGGATCTGGGACTCAAACCGTGGTCAACTACATGGAAGTCCAGCTACATAGCCATTATGCCAACTGCTGTTCTGGTCCTTACAATAATTCTAAAAAAAAAAAAAAAAAGAATTTTGTTTTTGAGAGATTTTTTTTTGCTGTAGGGCATATGTGCTTGCCAGACAGATAGAGAAAGAGAAAAAACAACCCTGGGGGGATTGCCACGCCACAATCCATTCTGCTCCAGTTGCCTCTTGAGATTTTGGGCATGCACACACACGTACGTGCCTGGTGTGAGCTTTAAGTTGCTGGGTCAAGGACTTGAACTGCAGTCAATATGTGGGAGTGCAGAGATGCAACCATTATGCCATCTGCTAGTGCCAATAATTATTTTTTAATTTAATTTAAGAAGTCTATTTTTTTATAAAGAATTATTTTTTTTTAACTTTCTTTCATTATTTCCTTCCTTTTCTCTTTCTTTATTTCATTTGACCAGAGAAGAATAGAGTGAAAGAAAGAAGAAGAGAGAAAGTGAGAAAGCTAGCCACCAGGTCCAGGACTTGAACAACCACCACTGACCATATGGGAGTCCAGCACCCTTACCACTATGCCACCTGCTGGCCAAGAAGTAATTTTTTAAAAAAAACAATTATTTTATTTAACTTTATTTATTATTATTGTTACTTTCCAGTTTGATCAGACAGATAGAGAGAGAGAGGGAAAGTGAGAAAGCAAGCCACCAGATTCAGGACTTCACCCATGGAGGGTCATGTGGGAGTACAGCGCCTTTAACCACCACACCACCTGCCGGCCCCAAGAAGTAATTTTTTTAAACAGAGATTTTTTTGCTATAGGGTGTATGCGCTCACCAGAGACAGGAGTGAGAAATTACCCCCCAGGGGGATGGCCATGCTGCAACCCCTTCTCCTCCAGGGATTTTGGGCACACACACATCTGCCCAGCATGAATTTCAAGCTGCTGGGTCTAGAACTCAAACTGCAGTCAGCCATGTGGGAATCTAGTACCTTAACCACTATGCCACCTGTTGGCCCTGACACTTAATTTTTTTATTTTGTTATTTTTTAATTTGACCACAGAGAGAGAGAAAAGAGAAAGTGAGAAAACAAACCACCAGGCCTAGGACTTTAACTGCGGTTGGTCATGTGGGAATCCAGAGCCTTTAACCACCATGCCACCTGCTGGTCTCACATTAATTCTTACTAAACTGTGAAATATTTACTCTAATTTTTAGTTAAGAAAAGCATGGGAGGGACCAGCAGTTAGCGTAATGGCTATGTCGCTGGACTCCCACGTAGTCGACCGCGGTTCGCATCCTGGACCCAGTGGTTTAAAACTCAAAACACACCAGGCGCGTGTGCATGCATGCCCAAGATCCCGAGAGAATGGAGGAGAAGGGATTGCGGCGTGGCCATACCCCCTGGGGGGGGATTTATCGCTTTCTGTCTGTCTCTCTCTGTCTGTCTGGCGAGCGCACGCGCCCTATAGCGAAAACCTCTCCCAAAAAAAAAAAAATAAATAAACAAATAAATAAATAAATAAAAGAAAAGCATGGGGGCCAGCAGGTGGCATGGTGGTTAAAGGCGCTGGACACATGGCCGACCGCAGTTCAAGTCCTGGACCTGGCGGCTTGCTTTCTTGCTTTCCCTCTCTGTCTCTCTCTGATCGAACTGGAAAATAATAATAATAAATAAAGTTAAGTAAAATAATTCTTTAAAAAAAAAGAAAAGTATGGGCCAGCCTCACAGTGTAGAGGTTAAGTCCTATGTGCAGGGAGTCTAAGCTTACACGGCCAACTGCAGTTCCAATCCTAGCACCAGTGGCTTAAGAAATACACCAGGCATGGGGCCGGCAGGTGGCATGATGGTTAAGGATTCTGGATTCCCACATGGTCAATCGAGGTTCAAGTCCCAGACTTGGTGGCTTGCTTTCTCACTTTCCCTCTGGTCAAATTAAATAAATAAATAGATAGATAAATAAAGTTAAATAAAATAATTATTTGAAAAAGAAAGAAAGAAATACACCAGGCATGTGAGCATGTGTCCAAAATCTTGAGAGGATGGAAATGGTGTGACTATGCCCCACTGGCAGGGTGGTGGTATTTTCTCTCTTTGGCAGAGCATGAATCCTCAGGCTAAAAACAAGGAAAAGAAAAAAAGAAATGCAGTAGAGGGGCCAGGCAATGGTATAGTGGGGAAGGTCCTGGGTTCATGTCCTGGGACCTGCCTGAGCACATACATACCTATTTATGATCAGGATCAATTGAGACTGGGGTTGCTTCACAGCATGAAGACCCTATTGGGGGTACATATTCATCTCTCTCTCTCTCATTGAAGTAAATAAACTTGGGGGAACATGGAAGCTAAGTAATTAGCTCAGGGTCATAGCTCTATCTAGGTCATGATTCAAAGCGCAATTTGTCTGAATACACAGCTCTGCTAATTTGTAACAAATGCATCACAAAGAAGGCAGGATGTCCACAGACAGAGATGGCTGCATATTTGTAGGCATAGAGGGTCTATGGAAACAATGCTATATAGCTTCTAAAAAAATAACACTCTCTTCATCTTGAAAAAATACTTACTTTGTTTGATGAATTGGAAATAACTGGAAATCTCACTTCACAACTTGATTTATGTGATGTACCATTTCTCCAGGAGGACCCAGTATTAAAAGGAGTCTCTGAATGGTCTGAGATCTGAGAGAATACAGATGCAGGTTTCTTACTGTCAGGAATATTTTTATCAGAGACAGTGTTTTGAAAGTTATTGTTTAAAGGAGAGGAGAACAGAGGTTCATCCCAGGCAGCGTTATTGGGGCTGATGTCTTCAGATTCAGTGCAAAGTTTGTTCTCATCTGGGTTATAACTCGTATCTTCACCAAGGGAGGAGGGCTTTTCGGTATCTTTGGATGAATCAGTCTTATCATTGTCAAGTACAGCATCACAAACTGTTGGATTAAATGGTGCAACTGTTACCTTGATAAGATTCTTGTCTAGTATAAAGCGTTTGTTTAATGGTTTATTAGGTGTTGGTCTCTGACCAACTGGTGTACTCAGTTGAGGTAGTTTAAAGAGGTCAGGGGTCTCAGTTACAGGTCCCAAGCTATACAATGAATTTTTCTCTTGAGGAATATCAAGTAAAATGTGACCCCCTCTCTCTCCTTTTTCATCACGGCCACTGTCATCTTTACACAGCCCTGCTTCACGAGGAATGTGCTCATCTAATAGATCATCATCCTTTAAGAGCTCCTCAATCTCTTCCTCTGTATAACTGAAATGGCCATCATCTTCTTCTCCATCAGACAGCTCTAGCAAGGAGTCATCTAATCCATCTTCATCCAAGGAACTCGAAGAAAACGGGGCACTGTCTTTCACCAAGAGAGAGTTACCAGAAGACTGTTCAGATGACACTAGCGAGCACGTCATAGCTGGAGAAATAAGAGGCAATTTCACTGAGGATCAAGATAATATTTCTATATCAACTCCCATCCACCATATACAGGGGCAGTGTCCTAATATTACAAATTCTTTGCACTTACAACATGAGAAATAATTTAAAGACATTTAACTCTGCCAGAATCGTGGAACTACATGTTAGAACAATGAAATACATTTCTCCTCTCAAAATTAATGTAAAAATTAAGATGACACAATAATCTGGGTTGCTGAGGATGTGAAGAAGCAAGCTCTCACGCACTATTGATGAGCATATAAGTAAGCACAATATTTAATGAAAAGTAATTTGGTAATATCATTTGACTCATCAATTTCAGTTCTGGAAATTTATCCTAAAGAGGTACTTATTATACATGCACATGAATATACATAAATGATGTTCAAAGAAGTGTTACTGAAGTAGCCAAATAAATGTCCATCATCAAGAGAACTGCTCAGTAAAATCACAGTACACTCATGTAACGAGGAATACTTTTCAACTACTTAAAAACACAAGTAGAACTATATATACTACTATGGAATAATATCTACTACAAATAAAATGTGGTATATAAAATGCTTGGACATTCATAATTTATACTCAAGAAAACAACAAACATTTCACTTTTGAAGTTAAATAATAATAATAATACAAGAGATAAATAATTGTCTTTCGTACTGTGTGGAGCTGCTGTAGCGATCTCTGCCTTTGCCACGAGACCAAATGGAAAAAGCTTTCAGCTCCTGCTAGCTGTTCCTTTCAGGAGACTTGTCAAAATGATTGACTCCCACCTTCCTGCAGGCACAAAGAAAATTAAAGGATCTTCTCATCACTTTCAACTCTGCTAATTACAGTCAATTGTATTATGCTTTAAGGTGTTCCATCTACTCATTTTGATCTTGACTTTTTTAAGTTCCAAAAAGTTGGATTTGAGTCGAGAACATAAAAAAAAAAAAAAAAAAAAAACTTTACAAAAAAGTTATGCAAATAAGTAACTAGTTTTGTTCCTCCCAGCAATTTGTACTCTCTTAAGACACATAATTTGCCTTAGTAGGATGAGTACTGGCTCGGGAGTCCAAAGACCTGAGTTGTCATACTGTTTATGTCATGAATCAGTTCTAATAACATGGACAGGCCACTTATTATTTGGACTTGTTCCCTCATTTATAAACTGGAAAAGAGATGGAGAAGGGGGATGAGGTGAAGATTCCACCAAAATCTAGAAATTAATCATGACCACACACAAATTTCACTTTTAATGTATATATAAGTGGAAAGAAAAGGTCTATGAAGATACAAACACAAAATTAATGACTGTTATAATTTGTGGGAAAATAGAGGTAGTTCAAGATGATACTTATGTTAGTAAAGTAGTCCCTCCTTATCTACCAGGAAAATTTCAAGAACCCCAGTGAATGCCTGAAACCAGGGAAAGTTGCAAACCCTACAAACATAATGTTTTTTTGTTTGTTTGTTTAGTTTGCTAGAGGAAAGGTGCACTCACTGGAGACAAAGGAAAGTGAAAAAGCACCCCTCATGGGGAATGGCCACACAGCAATCCTTTCTTCTCCATTTCTCCCCTCAGAATTTTGGGCATGCATGCATATGCACCTGCCATGTTTCTCAAGCTACCAGGTCTGGGACTCAAATCACATTATTGGCTATGTGGGATCCAGCCACTTTAACCGCCATGTCACCAGTTGGTCCAATGCTGTTTTTTTTTTTTAACACACACACACACATATATATATATGTCTGAGTGATATAGATATAGATATGAATGATATATATATATATATGAATGGCTTTATTTATGAATTAGGCACAGTAAGAGATAACTGATAACAAAATTATATAATAATAGGCACAGTAAGAGATAATAACTAATAAAATTATAATACAGTAAAAGTTAATGAAAATAGTCTCTCAAGAGACCAGCAGTTGGCATAATGGCTATATTGCTGGACTTCCATGTATGGTTTGGGTCCCGGACCTGGTGGCTTAAACTCATCCAGGGTGTGTGCGTGCGTGCCCAAGATCCCAAGAAGAGAATGGAGAAGGAATCATGGCTTGGCCATTCCCCCTGGGGGGTGAGTTCTCACTTTCTGTCTCTCTGTCTCTTTCTTTCTGGCGAGCACATACACACTATAGCAAAAAACTTCTCCCCCAAAAAAGAAAATAGTCTCTCCAAATATTGTACTGCACTATACTAATCTATTTTTTTTTTTTTTTGGAGAGGTTTTCGCTATAGGGCGCGTGCGCTCGCCAGACAGACAGAGAGAGACATTGAGACAGAAAGCGAGAAATCACCCCCCAGGGGGGATGGTCACGCCGCAATCCCTTCTCCTCCATTCTCCTCTCGGGATCTTGGGCACGCACGCACACGAGCCCAGCCTGAGTTTTAAGCCACCGGGTCTGGGATGCGAACTGCGGTCGACTACGTGGGAGTCCAGCGACATAGCCATTATACTAACTGCTGGTTCCCCTATACTAATCTATTTTCAGACTGTAGTTGACTGTAGGTAACTGAAACTGAAAAACAAAACCACAGTAAGGAGAGACTACTGTGCCATTTTCTTCTTCTATTGGAATATTTACTTGCCTACATTAAATCCTGATTTTTAAATAGCTAATGATATACCTATCCTATAATTTCCCAGATTCAAAAGGTGATAAAAAGCTTTTACAGATCACATCTGAGAACTCTTAAGCAATGCTGAAACATATAACTAATTTGGAAAATTGGGGCAAGATGGTGGCACAATGGTGTAAACTGAACGCACATGATGAGGTAGAAGACAGGCACACACACATATACTGGGATGTCAGAAAAGTCATGATGTGGAACCAGTAGTTGGCATAATGGCTATGTCGCTGGACTCTCATGTAGTCAACTGTGGTTTGAGTCCCCGACCTGGTGGCTTGAACTCACACCAGGAGCATGTGCGTGCCCAAGATCCTGAGAGGAGAATGGAAAGGAGAATGGAGGAGAAGGGATTGTGGTGTGGTCAACCCCCCTGGGGGGTGATTTCTTGCTTTCTGTCTCTTTCTGGTGAGTGCACACATCCTATTGCAAACACCTATCACCAAAAAAAAAAAAAAGAAAGAAAGAAAGAAAAAGTCATGATGCATTTTTGCATAGAGAAACACATCTTGACTTTTCTGATGACCCAATAGTTCAAGAGTTCAGACCCACAAGATAGAGCTGACTTACAAGATGGAGTCACTCTGGTCAAGCTCTTAATAAAAATTATTCACTGCTCTCACTAAAAATAAATTATTAACACTCACTGCTTGCTCACACAAAGAACTGCTTACAGCCTGCTTGAGAGAATGACAGCTGAAACTAATGTTTTCCATATCACTGCTACATTTCAAAGAATGTAGTCTCTCTTGGTCTGGAGACCTTGAACAGTAACTTGACAGGAGCTAGTCAGAAGCTATCTTAAGAAATGGGAACATGACATGCAGGCTTGCACCTGCGAGATAAGGAGGACTAAATGAGATTACATTTAAGAAGCACAAGGAAAAAACACGTCAAAGAAAGCTTCCTTTCAGGCTTGTGGGAAATTAAAAACTGGACCATCAGGTGGCGTAGTAGTAAAGGTGCTAGACTCCCATATGACCCATTGCAGTTCGAGTCCCAGACCCAGAGCTTGAAACTCACACTAGGTGCATGTGCATGTGTGCTGAAAATCCTCAGAGAATGGAGAGAGAAGGGATTGTGGCATGGCCACCCCCCCTTGGGGGGTGGATTTCATGGTTTATCTTTCTCCATCTCTCTGTATTTCTGGGAAGTGCACGTGCCCTACAGCAAAAATCTCTCCAAAACGAAACAAAACAAAAAACTAAAACTTTATGGGTCACAGTCTTCAGACAAAGATCTGCTAAATATTGATAAGCTAAGATCTAAATGTCTAAAGTCTTGTGATGCTGGCCCTAAAAGAAATAAATTTTTAAAAATAATCTGAATGAGCCAGCAGGTGGTGTGAAGGTTAAGGTGGCTGAATCCCACATGGCCAACTTCACAGTTTGAGTCCCAGACCCGGCAGCTTAAAAGTCACACCAGGGGAATCAGCAGTTAGCATAATGGCTATGTCGCTGGACTCCCATGTAGTTGACCATGGTTCATGTCCCGGACCCGGTGGCTTAAAACTCATGCCTGGCGTGTGTGTGTGTGTGTGCCCAAGATCCTGAGAGGAGAATGGAGGAGAAGGGATTGCGGCCTGGCCATCCCCCCAGGGGGTGATTTCTCGCTTTCTGTCTCTCTCTGTCTGGCAAGCGCACGCACCCTATAGCAAAAACCTCTTCAGAAAAAAAGTCACACCAGGTACGTGTGTGTGCATGTCCAAAATTCCAAGAGGAGAGTGGAGGAGATGATACTGTAGCATGGCCATGCTCCTGGGGGGTCATTTCTCACTTTCCTCTGTCTTTCTCTAGTGAGCGCACATGCCCTGCAGCAAAAAACTAAAACGAATAATGTGGAAAATTTCTTGTAGCCTTTTAATTATAAAGTTTCCCTCATTCCACTACCTTCCATAGCACACCTTCAGTTTTAGCTTCAGGTCATGTATTCTTTCAGAAAACATTTTCTGGGCTACAATCATTACACAGCACAATTACAAGGAATATCACTATAAGACTTCCAAGAAATGGATATAATTCCCAACCTCATGGAATATATAGCCTTGCTAGAGAGAAAACACTGAAAATCAAACATCAATATTAAAGAATATAAAATAGTAGAGACAGGGACCAGAAGATAGTATAATGGTTATATCTCTGAACTCCCATGTAGTTGACTGCGGTTCGAGTCTTAGACCTGGCGGCTTAAAACTCACTCCAGGACCATGTGCACATATACTCAAGACCCCAAGAGGACAATGGAGAAGGGATTATTGTGTGGCCATCCCCCAGGAGGTGATTTCTGTCTGTCTCTTTAGCAAGCACACACACTCTGAAGCAAAAAAAAAAAAAAAAAAAAAAAAAAAAGTGTGGACAATAAAGTACTAAAGAATTAGAATGAGCTGACTCCGTGGCGTGGTGTAAGGCAGCCAGATCCCACATGGCCAACCACCAGTTCTGAGTTATGGTGGCAGCTTGAGAAGCATACGGAGCATATGTGCATGTGTGCCCCAAATCCCAAAAAGATAGAGAAATGGAGAAGGGATTGGAGCGTGAATATTCCCCATGGGGATGCTTTCTCCTCCTCTTCTCTGTCTTTTTCTGGCAAATAGTGAGAAATCAACCCCCAGAGAGTATGGCCACACCACAATCCCTTCTCCTCCATTTTCCTCTAGGGATCTTGGGCACACATGCACATGTGCCCAGCGTGAGTTTAAGCCACCAGGCCTGGGACTCAAACCACAGTCGACTACGTGGAAGTCCGGCGACACAGCCATTACTCCAACTGCTGGTCCCAGCAGTTAAATTTTTTTTGCCATAGGGCACATGCGCTTGTCAGAGATAGAGAGGGGGAGAAAGTGAAAAATCACCCCCCAGGGAGATGGGTATGCCTCAATTCCTTTTCCTCCATTCTCTCGTGGGGATTTTGAGCATGCGCACACATGCATCTGGCATATTTTTCATGCTCACAGGTCTGGGACTCAAACAGATGAACTGGCCATGTGGGATGCAATGTCTTAACTATGTCACCTGCTGGCCCAGTAGTTAAGTTTTTAGAGCACTGAAAGTTGTTGGGACCAGGAAATAGCATAATAGTGATGTTACTGGACTCCCACATAGTAAACCATGATTCAAGTCCCAGACCCGGCACCTTAAAACTCATGCCAGGCGCGTGTGTGTGCATGCCCAAAATCCAAGAGAAGAATGGAGGATAAGGGACTAAGGTGCGGTCATCTCCCCTGAGGGGGTGATTTCTCATTTTGTCTCTCTGTTTCTCCAGTGAACACACACACCCTATAGCACAAAAAAAAAAAAAAAAAAAAAACAACAACGAAAAAACCCTCTCTCTAAAAAAATAAGTTATAAGGGGCCCAGCCTAGGAGGTGCAGCCCTTAGCATACTGGATTGCAGTGCTGGAAACCACATGGCCTACCATGGGAGCAACTGGTCTCCTTGGGAACCAGCAGTTAGTGTAATGGCTAGGTCGTTGGACTCCCATGTAGTCCACTGCGGTTCGCGTCCCGGACCCGGTGGCTTAAAACTCACGCCGGGCGCATGTGCGTGTATGCCCAAGATCCTGAGAGGAGAATGGAGGAGAAGGGATTGTGGCGTGACCATCCCCCCCGGGGGGTGATTTCTCGCTTTCTGTCTCTCTGTCTCTCTCTGTCTGTCTGGCGAGCACACGCGCCCTATAGCGAAAAATCTCTCTCAAAAAAAAAAAAAAAAGAACTGGTCTCCTTCTCCTGTCTACTTAAACATGGCCATGACCAAGGTCCTGAGAAGCTGGAGGGGAGGAAGGAGACTACAGCCTGACCAGTCCCTGATAAAGGTGCTTCTTGTACTTTCTATTGTGTGTATATGTACAATTCTGAATAAAAACTTTCTAACATTTACAAAAAAATTTTTAAAACATTTTCAAAACTTATTAGTTTTAAATATACATATAAGTAACATACAATAATAAACCCCCACATATCATCGCTCAGGCCCAACAACTACCAACTGATAGTTAATCTTGTCCCATTTACTTCCCCCTTTTACTAGATTATTTTGAAACAAATCCAAGGTATATCATTTTACCTATAAATAATAATTCTTCATCACAAAATATTCAGCTCAGATTTTCAATTATCTTATGTCACACTTTTATCAAGCTTAAAAAAATTACCTAAATAAGTTCCATACAGTGTGACTGGCTGCTATGTCTTGAGTATATTAATTTATAGCTTACCCAAGGACCAGCAGTTGGCGTAATGGCTATGTCGCTGGACTCCCATGTGATCGACCGCAGCTCGAGTTCCGGACCCAGAGGCTTAAATTCATGCTGGGCGCATGTGCGTGTGTGCCCAAGATCCCAAGAGGAGAATGGAGGAGAAGGGACTGCGGCATGGCCATACCCCCAGGAGGTGATTTCTTGCTTTCTATCTATCTGTCTTTCTGGCGAGTGCATGTGACCTATAGCAAAAACCTTTCCCAAAAACAAAACCAAAAAAAAAAAATAGGTTACCCATTTTTATTTCCTTACAATTTACTTAACAATATCATATATTATATATGGATACATATGTCAATATACATTGGGAACAGCCGTTGGCTTGGTGGTTAAGGATGCTGGACTCCTACATGGTCTGAATCCCGGAATTGGCGACTTGCCTTCTCACTTCTCTCTCCCCCTCTCCCACTCTGTCCCTCTCTGGTTAAATTAAAATAAAGTTAAATAAAATAATTATTTTTTTAAAAAAGAAAAATATACATCATAAAAATATATGAGAAACATCAAATTTAATATACTAGTGGTTGGGAAGGAAAAAGAGTGGCAAGGAGGGATGGGTAACTTCAGTCTGTCATTTGTTTTCTTTTTTTTTTGGAGAGATTTTTTTCACTATAGGGCGCGTGCGCTGGCCAGACAGACAGAGAGAGACATAGAGACAGAAAGCGAGAAATCACCCCCCAGGGGGGATGGTCACGCTGCAATCCCTTCTTCTCCATTCTCCTCTCAGGATCTTGGGCACGCATGCACACGTGCCCGGCGTGAGTTTTAAGCCACCAGGTTCAGGACGCGAACCACGGTCGACTACGTGGGAGCCCAGCAACATAGCCATTACATTAACTGCTGGTTCTGTTTTCTTTTCTAATTGCCATAGGGTGTGTGCACTAATGCACAAGAAAGCACCCCCAATAGGGCACGGTCACACTACAATCAGTTTTCTTCCATTTCTTCCTCCTGTCAGGATTTTGGGAATGCATGCACACACCCATCTTTCAAGACTCCAAGGCCAGGTTTTTTCCTTTTTTAATTTGCTAGATAGAGGGCGTGTGCTCTGACTTTGGACATAGAGAAAGGGGGTAAGTGAGAAAAAGTACACCCCCTGGTCACACCACAATCCCTTCTTCATTTCTCCTTACGAAATTGTGGGCATGTACACATATGTGCCTAATGTGCTTTGTAATCCGCCAGGTCTGGGATTCAAACAGCACAGCTGACTGTGTGGGATCCAACTGCCATAATCACCATGCTGGACTAGGGCTACAATTTCTTCCTTTTCGGAGCAATTTTTGTGATGGGGTATGTGCGCTTGCCAGAGACAGAAAGCAAAACCCTGCAATCCCACCTCTTGGGCTATAGCAGTTGGCCACGTGGGAGTCCACAACGTAACCATTATTTTTTAAAGAATTATATATTAATTTTATTATTATTATTATTATTTTTAATTTGACCAGAGAAAGAGCAAGAGAAGGAAAGTGAGAAAGCCAGCCACCAGGCCCAACTCTCTAACCATGGCTGACCACATGGGGGTCCAACACCTTAACCACCACATCGCCTGCTAGCCCTATGTTTTATGTCTAATAAAACACCAACAGTGAAAAAAAGAAATAACTATGGCAGCATAAGACTGAACAGTGAGTATAATGACATTCATTATGTTACTTTCTACAATTTTTATATCATTCAAAATATTTAATAACATTTTAAAATGATGAATTCAGTGGGAAAGATACGATTATACTCAAAAGTCTCAAATGTACTCTCCTGTAAAATAGAAAACATCATACCTACTGCAAAGGATTGGTGCAAGAATTAAATGAGATTGTGAACATAAAGCACTTAGCTACAGAAACAACAGAAGAGGGACCAGCAGATGGTTTAATAGTTACATTGCTGAACTCCCAATTAGTCAACCAAGGTTCAGGTCCTATACCTGGCAGATTAAAACTCACAACGAACATGTATGTGTGTGTGCCCGAAATCATGAGAGGAGAATGGAGAAGGGATTATGGTGTGGTCATTTCCCCCCTGGGGAGGTGATTTCCAGCTTTCTCTTTGTCCCTCTGGTGAGTTCGTGCGCCCTATAGCAAAAATCTCTTAAAAAAAAACCAAACAAACAAAACCATAGGGACCAGCAGTTAGTGTAATGGCTATGTCGCCGGACTCCCATGTAGTCGACCGTGGTTCGAGTCCTGGATCCGGTGGCTTAAACTCACACCGGGCACATGTGCGTGCATGCCCAATATCCCGAGAGAAGAATGAAGAAGGGATTGCAGCGTGGCCATCTCTCCTGGGGGGGTGATTTCTCGCTTTCTGTCTCTCTGGCGAGTGCGCGCGCCCTATAGCAAAAACCTCTCAAAAAATATATATATATATGAAATAAATTAGTGATGACTATAGTTATTATTTCATCCCACCATCATCACCTCCCTGACCCCTAAAGACTCGTACATATTAGGAATGGTAGGAAAAAAGAGGGCTAAACTGGTAGGAAACTTCCCCTAGACCCTGATGTTTAGAAATTACACAGTATGCTCTATTTGCCTGTTTAACCCAGCATTTGACTACACTGTCACTAGATTAAATAAAGCCCAGACTGGACGGGTATTTGGAGCATCAGGCAAATTCTGAAATTAATGGTCACTGAAGTATCTTTATAGAGGCGTTGGACCAAAATCCAGAGACTGAAGCAAGTGATTTGAAGTCTCCAAATCTCAACACAGAAGGGAACACTCCCCCGAAAACAAAAAATATTCATTGTTAACTTCAAACACAGATCATCACGAGAATCAAATGAGGGGAAGTTTCTGAGAGCACATTAATGCCAAAAGTCCTAAACTAATGAAGCGAAGCTGATATTTAGCGACTGTGCAAAGGAAGAAGGCCTTCAGATGAGGCTAAAACCCCACGAGGCTGCCTAGTTGCTTCTCCCATCCACCATCACTTGCCTTTCTTGGTTCTTGCTTGGTAACCTCCACTGTTTTGTTTTTTTCTCCTCTCAGGATTTTGGGCACGCACACACACGCTCCCGGCATGAGTTTAAGCCACTGGGTCCGGGACTCGAACCATGGTCGACTACATGGGAGTTCAGAGATGTAGCCATTATGCCATCTGCTGGTCCCCATAACCTCTACTTAATATATGAAGGCTCCTTTATTTTGAAGGGAAGAGGTTTTTTCCCCAATTTCTATTCTCGTTTAACCCGCCTGCTCCCCAACCCTCCTGTGACCTTATTCTGTCCCTCCACATCTCTCACCTGTCCACCCCCTTCTTCACACTTGAGTTTACCTCCCCCACTGTGCTCTGAACCTCCTGGTTGCAACCTCGGAAACCGGCTTCCTTTCTATTTTTATCCTACCTCAGAAAACCTACTACCTTAGTGCAGGAAACCCAACTTGCTCGGGCCCTGACGCGCAGCCCCAGATCCGCTTTCCCGGCTTGAAAGCCAGAGCATCCCCGCAGGGCAGGGCCGACCGGCGCCGCCCAGGGCTCCTCGCCCGCTCTCTGGGCAGCCGAGGGAACAG